CATATCTTCAGGTTCATTACCACCATTATTGTTGCTATTCAACACAATAATGCCAGGAGCAAGTGTTGCGTATAAAAACTATAATATTTTAAGAGCTCTGTTTCGTATCAAGAGGCATCTATTTACAACCTTTACTCCCTTAGGACAGTTATTTTTGTCTGTCATTGTCATTACGGTTTATTGGTCCTCCTTTGCAACGAGAAGTGGTTGGTAAGGCTTAAAGCTTTGTTCAGCTGCTCAGCCTCAGTGTTTTGTGATTTTTCTGGTGCTATGTTTTTTTAGTTGAAGTCCTTTGTGAACACAGTGGATGCTGTGACTAATTTGGCTAATTCTGGAAGAAAGGATTACGCTTGGATTCTGCATTGGTGTTTTGAGTCTCAGTAAAAAAGTTACAATGAGTGAGTAGTCTGGGTTACGCAGACAGTTGAGTGGGATGATACCTTCTGGCCTTCAAATCAATGGGGTCTGTTTATTTCCATATGATTCAGGTTTAACTTCTGAGACAGCCTGTAACATCTTGTAGATTATTTGGTATGCGGAGCACCCCATACATTGCTTATGAATGTGTGTCTTGGATAAATGGGAAAGCTCCTAGTCAGGCTTTCACACAGAGGCATAGAGATGTTATTGGGACACTGCAGTATTGCCAAGTTTTTCTAATTTAGGCAATTCTCACAATAGTTGACATTTTCTTTAAAGTTTCAAATTATTTTAAAGAAGATTGACGTTTATTATTTTGAAAAAAGAAAGAGGAAATCCCTAGTCCTCATTGCAGAATAACACTTGACAAAGTGACTGACACTGCTAAATACACACAGACCCCTCCGTATCACCCAACCCAGAAAACAGAAAAAAAACATTAGTTTTAAAACCTTACATTGTATAAGGATTTTTGTAGGATCTGCGTAAGATTCTGTGTGCTCAAGGTGAGAAACCCTGTAACTTACAAGTCTTCTGTTTTCCCAGTCCAGGTGCACACACAGCCGTGATCTGGCTCCGTCCCCGCCGAGGCGAGGTGTGGTTGTGCTCCAGCACTCCCTGTGTCCTGCTTTCCCAGGGCGGGGAATCTCCTTGTGTGCTGGCCAGAGAGGAGCTAGCAAGTACTTCCTTAGCACACAGTGGACAAGGACTTAGAGGTGTGTTTTAGTCCAGGCACAGCCTCTAGCTCCCATATTAGATATTTAAAAAAAAAGAAAAAGTTTTCTCAGAATTCACAACTAACTATTGATTAATTAAACAAATACAGAATGAAACATTGTAAACAACAAGTAGTGCCTCGAAGTGCTTGTAGCCCAGGCAATGTGCTGGGCCAGTGCCTGAAAGTGACACAATCCTGCTCTCTGATTTGGATGGTGACACAACCCTGCTGTCTATTTTGGATGACCTGATTTCACTGCGCCAGTTGAGAGAAATGCAGAAAAGGAAGTGTGCCTCAGAAACAGTGACAGACCCATTCAACTGTTACAATGCCCTCTCTCCTGATAATCCCGGCTGTTATTAACTGTAGAGATAAGACTGTATTTTTCCCTTAACCTTACATTGTCATTCAGCTAAATTTGCTGCCTCAAGGGAAGTCTGTTTCTGTCCAGAATTTGGTAAACAATATAGGGACACTCACGATCTCAAGAAGATGAAGCTTCCTACCACAGTTACTACAAGGCCACGCTGCCCAGGAAAGGAGGGAAAACTGTAAGCTGCTCCTTCTTGCACAAGTACCACTCTGGGACCGAGGTGAGAGGTGGCAGCTGCTGAGAAAACTTTATTCCCTTGCTGCCAAGCACAGGGCAGGCAGTGCCCCAGTATGTGAAGAGGGCCAGCGTGAGGACAGGAAAGAAGCTGGAGTTTTTCTGGGAGAGCAAGAGGAAATAGTGACTTTTTGAGTGGGAATTCTTTCTCAGCACGGGCTGTGAGCTGCCAGGTCGGCACCTCTCTTTGTCAAGGGCTGACCACTCCACCTGTGTCTATGTAGTCTGTGTGTATAGTAATAAAAAATGCAGGTTTATGTGGTCTGCCATGTGAGACGAGCAATTCCCATACTAGTACGTCACTACTTCTCTTATCAGGGAACATTAGGTTTCAGCCAATTTCCATTACTATTTTTATCCTTCATTGTGTGCAAATACACAAGGATTTTAATAACAGCAGAGTCACTTTAAATGCCTCTTGAAAGGCCAGAGAGCTTGATGTCTTATTTTCATCAGTCCGTCTAATGCTATTTTTACAAGAGAACCACATGGCTTATACAGAATCAGAGCAGTTTTTTTATAAAGGCATTTTTTTGAAGGCTTGAATAGTTGCAATTGTTGGAGAAAGGTGCTTAGATACTGGATTAGGAATTTGCAGGATCAAAGTAGCAGTTAAGATGCCAGGGAACTCATCCAAATCACAACATAGCTGATATTCTTTAGGGAATACTGGGCTGTTTTGTATACAGCACTCTGGGCTCCAGGTAACTTAAAACCTGAAGAATTGAAATGATTACAAATATCGGGCTAAATCTTTCAAGGTGTTGAGTGCCCACAACTCACATTGGGCTGAATAATCTTTTACACTGTGGCCCTTTGTGCTATGACAGCAATGTCAAAGGCATTCAGTGACAGTAAATGCCACTGGAGGCCCCCTTACAGTATCGGACCCTAGGAAAGTCACTTGGGTGCAATTGGGCATTTGGCCCATTTTCCTGGCAATACTCAGCACCTTTCAGGAGCAGACTGACAGAGGAGTAGCTCTGGCAGGAAAGCTCAGTTATTTGTGATCTCAGTTACACAGAAAATGTAGGGGATGGATTTGGTTGGGGTTTTGGGGGGGGTTTTCGGGGTTTTTTAAACCTGTGAGAAGCTGCAGGGATTTCTGCTGGGCTGGTCTCCTCGAGATCTAGACTGCAAATACAGGGCATTAAATTATCTCTGTCCTGATTTTAGTGCCTGTGCTTAGACTGAGTTCAATGAGGTGAGGAACTCATCCTCATCTTTGCTGCACTGGAAGGTGCATGTAGCTGACTCCTGCCCTCTCTTGGGCTCTAGATGAGGAACAACAAAGACAGTAGTGGAGCAGGCTTCTCCTTTCTCCAAACTTGCTAACTTGATAAGGGAGCTGAATTTTCCTATCCAGTTGCTGCCCCTGGAAGAGATTCCAGAGAACGGAAATATTTTATTTTCATATCATTTACACAGAGTACTTGAATTTCTGTTTCAAAAACTCTCCTTAAAGAGAGGTGAAAGGTTTAAAAAAGCCAAGAAGTGTGAAAAAAAATCACATGAGCGTACTTTTTTCAATATTTTCCTTGAGAAAACTAATTTTTGTTTTAATGATACAAAAAAAATTTGAAATTCTAGTTCTGATTCAGCCACCAAACTAAGAAAATATGATTTGGTTTTTTTTCTCCATTATACTTAACAGTAATAATGTTGCTGTCATCACAATGGAGAAAGCAAGGCTTCTGAAGAGAAGATAATAGCTTTTGCCTTTAATTAGACCAATTATATGTTTGTAAAAGAGGCAAAGATAGGAAAACTATAATTTTTGAAATTAAAAGATATGTGTGTAATCATGGTTTCAGTTTTAAAACTTCTACAAATCTTTTTTTCAAATGAATCACTGGAAGCTCTTAGTGCTTTCTCATTACTTAATGTGTTGGGTTTGGAGAATTTTGTTTGGGTTTTTTGACCTGAATGTGGATGAACTTGATGTTCTAGAAGCTGGAAATTGATTTTAGAGAGAATTATACAGAATTTAATCATGTATAAGAATAAGGAAACTATTCAAATATTGTATGCACATTAATAAAAATGTTGGCTAATAGTGGAAGAATTAGAAAACAGATCTGCTTTGATTGTGATATATTGGGCTGTCATAAAACTCATGTGGAAAAAAGGGGGTTTGGGTCCAAGTTCCATGTGTTTATGGAGGAGGGATGAGGAACGATATTGCTTCACTGGCAGACTGGTGTACTGTGTCCTTTATCTCTCCTGTCCCTCATACCTCTTCTTCCCTTTTCACCCACAAACTTTTTCTGCATAAAGATAGATTTCAATCAAGTGTGACAGAGTGGTAGAGATACCAAAGCTTTGTAAGTATAGGTGAGGAAAGTCTTTGAATTAAATTGCCCCTAATAGTTTCCTGTCACAATGGCTAATTTGTAATGGTCAAAGGTAGCAGCCTGCATGTTTCCATTAAAGTATTCTGCAGAACAGAGGGAAGGGCAGTAGGAGATTAAATTTAGAAATATTTGTGGTGATAACAGAAATACTGTCTAAAGAGGCAATACACGATGAAATACAAATCAGAAAAACAGTTGTCATTAGCCATGTTGCTCATGGACTTACTTAGAAGATGCAAACAGATGGTACAGGTGGACAGCTGCATACAGATCCTACCTCTCCCTCTCCTGGTAACACTGACAAACTCTCCAGTAAATACAAAATTCTATGTATCTTTCTTCTGAGTTTCCCTCTAGCACCTACGGTGCTCAGCACTTATGGACCACATTTCCTCTGTTATCCTAGCATCTGATTCAGTCATACAGAGAGAATCACTTTTATTGTCACTTGTGTGAAACACGAGTGCCTAGAGAGCCCAAAAGTGCAAAGCATTAGTTTAAGACAAGGTAAGGGATACCTTAACCGGCTGTAATGCAAGAGTCTAGCCTGCAAAACCAATAGCTCTTCCAGCTTCTGCAAGCACACCCTGGGATTGTTAGCAACCACAACTGGCAAGGACCTGAGCCCATTTATTGTCTGTGAAATGACATCTCTGACATAGTGCCACTGCTGGATTGCTGGTAGGGTTCTGACTCACTGACATGCGACTTCTTGTTTTCCAGACCTGAGCATTACTAGCATGTAAAGGTTGACCCATTCACAGAATCATGTGGTGTGGCAGTGGGCCATAAGTATAACCTTGACTACAATGCCCTTTCCAGAGACTGATTGTGGTTTTCTTATTGTCTAATGAGTTTGTCATTTCCTGTACTAGTTGTAACAGCGCTGAATATTTTCTAGGTTACCTAACCAAACTTCTGCAAAATCATACTGCCTATGCCTGCGATGGGGAACGTTTGAGTCTGCATTGTCCTGCGCATTCAACGATAAGTGTTCAGTCAGCATTTTACGGGCAAGACTACCGCATGTGTAGCACTCAGGAGCCTGAAACCAAGATGACAGAACCCGTAAACTGTGTGGCACCCACTTCTTTGCAGGTATCACGTGTTGTAAAGGTTCCTAATGCACAGAATGTTTTTGACAGTTTTCATGCAGTGAGCTATGCTGTGCGAAAACAGCAAGTGTTCACGACATTGAATAAAATGACATTGTGTCTATGTTAGTTTACCATGAAGAGTATTACAACTGAAAGGATTTGTTTGGCTAGCAGGATATTACCATAGGATTGTGAAAGCTTTGTAGGTTGACTTCTATTTTCATAAGCCTTGCTTTGGAAAACCCCATTCTCAAAGTTCTCTAAAATAATCAGTTCCCTTCCAATCCAGGGCTGGTCATGACTGAGCAGACCAGTCTTAATCCATCACACAAGCCTTCCTTCTCCCTAGGAGAGGACACAAACATTTGACAGAGCTGGGTTACAAGTCTATCGAATAAGATGGCATTCTGTTTGGTGTTTTGCTTGTTCCATGCCTATCTTTACTCACTGAAAAAGCACCATGACAGCTAAAGATCCTAAGTCTTCTGCAGTTATCTGCATTTCTGTGAATTTTTGTATCAGTGTGAATATTTGTACCAGTAATATCCTATGGTTTGTTTGCTGACCTTCTTAAGTATAGCTTAAAGTGATTTATACTTCATAAATTAATTACTTTCTCCTGTGGAGACTTTTGTAACAAGGCTTAGAAAGTCTGACTTACACTGCTGTCAAAGGCTTGTTTCATCACAGTGAAAATGCCCAGTGTTAGGCCAAATTCAGTAAATTATTGCAAAAGTGAGTGGTCAATGGAATATGAACATGTTCTAATGCTGAAGCTGTTGTAAATGCTCTACAGAAGCTTTGATGAAGCTTGCAGCCAACACACTGCTCCTTGACAACAGGGGATGTCTGTTTCCACCACTAGCGAGTTGAAGAGTTTTACAGAATGGTTTGGTGGTAATATGCTCTCTCCAGAAACAATATTAGGGCAGTTTTATGAGTGTGACTTGCCCATCCTGTACTGCAACTTCTAAAGACATTCCAGAGGTGACCTACGGGCCATGTGAAAGTACATTTCTACGAAAAACAGTAGGCCAGATGCATCCTTGATGTCATTTTACTGGCTACAGCAAAGTGACACCAATGGTTATTTTGGGCTTGTGAGTGCCTTTGGGAGGTCTCCATGGGCAGTTTTTTCCCTTGAATATAATGAACACAGCATGGGATAACTTGTATAAACTACCGTCATCATTCAGGCACTGTGACTGATCAAAGGCATGAAAGCATTTTGACGAGGCCACAAATGTGAGAGATACAAATGCCCTGCATCTCAGGGAGCCCCGGTTCTGTCAAGGAGAAGAGAGACATCCTGTAAACTGATTTCTTAGAAAAGAGCACCAGTGATCTCATCCCTCCTCCCCTTCCCTTTGGAACCGCATCTGCAGTCTGCATAATCAGGCATGATGCTACCCTGCAGCCGGGAGGAAGCATAACAGGCATTTTTTACAGTGACCTCTTATTAAAAGAATCACTGAAAAGTTAAATTTGTCTTGAGATACCAACAGCCCAGTGCTATCTCATTACAAGTCTCATTGTTTGCTTTTGTGGTTGCGTGTTTTTGCACAGCAACACGATAGAAAATACAACTGCTGTTTGCATTAAGTAGGAGAAAGTACAAACAGATGCACAGGAGATGATTCAGCTCAGGTGCAAACAGAAGGTGACTCAGTAGGGGAGAGCTATCTCCACTTACTGAAAACAGAACTGTATTTCACTGGCCTGTTCCAGAACCATCCCAATTAAGGAGGAGTTATTTGTTTGACTTGCAACTCTGTAAAAGAACAACTGAGTGATAAAATTAAGTCTACTGTGCGTTTCCTTCCCTTTTAAACTCTTTAGAGTGCACTTAATGCTCAAAAAATTGGGTGTCAGTCCTCTTCTTCTACCAATGGGAACAAGAAGGGCAAGAGTGTTGCAGGGTTGCTGCAATGTGCTGCCAATGTGTATCATTTCTGCTTGGGAGGGATGGCTTCCGGGGATGGCAGGAGAGATTCAGCCACTGCCAACTCTCTCAGACTGGAAACAAGAGTGCAGCTTGTGCTATCACAGTGGTAAATTTGTGATTTGGCCTCTTGATAGGACTGAGACCCCCTTCTGATGAGAAACAAGGCAAAAATTCCCACAGATTTTACAGGAGTACCTAAAACTATCTGAGAATGGTATCTTACAGTTACTCTTGTTAAGAGTAGAGTGACCCAGAGACAACGCCCTCCTTATCGCAGCCTGCAGTGATTTTAAACATCACTAATCTGGGCACAACACCACAGACTGTCCAAAAATAGTGTATAGAAAGCCGTCTCAAAACTGGGCTTTGAAGGTGAATAAGAATTTCATAAGTACACTGCTTCATTTAAACAGGGTTTTTTTAAGGTGCTTTGGCTTGTGAGTGTTAAAAACTGGACTCAGACTCATCTTGGGCAATGTCTTCATATTTTCTATAGCTACAGCTCCAAAACTGCTGATGAAGTGGGAACACTAATGTGAGCACTAGGAGTACTCAGTCCTTTTGCTGGAGTTGAAGAGGGCCTACGTGACCCTTTACATAGAACACTGCTGACCTTTTTCTTGTCCTCCTCTGTTGCCACTCCCAGTGAAGCAGCACAATAAGAACCATGGTATATTGCTGGGTCAAAAAAATCTTGAGTAGATATGGCCTTAGAACAGCATTAAAAAAAAAAAAAAAGGACAAACAGTCTTAGGATAGCCAGGCACATCTGTGCTGTCCAATCAAACCAATTCTGAATTTGTTCAAGTGGCAAGTCAAGTAAATCGCTGATAATGTGTTTGACTGCAAGCAAGAAGTAAGTGCCCCTTAAGCAGGAGGTCCTACATATGACTTAAAGCTAGGGTTGTGCTGAAGTGTCACTAAGCACACCAAGTCATTAGTTAGAACTCTTTCAAATGAAGGTATTACAGAGCATGATCAGGTAAACTTCAGTAGATCAAGATGAAATGGTTAAAAAGACATCTTTTTGAGTTACTGTGCTTCACCTGGACATTGTACTGCCATAAGTGCCCTCAGGAGTGCGTGAGTGCCTCAGGCATGTCAGTGAAGAGGCTGGGGGTTGAGTGTGTTCCCACTGGCTCTGGGCTCTGCTTGGAGTCCCAGGCACCCCTGAGGCTGTGGTGACACCCTGCGAGATCTGGCCGACTGGCTGGGGGCAGAGGGAAAGGTGAAAAAACAAGAGCAAATTGGTAGCACCCTAAGTTTCCATGAGCATCGCTGTGATGAATGTGTTCTCATAAACTTGGCCATGACTCAAAGTCCAGTAGAGATGTGGCTTAAATCCAGTGATACAGATGTTTCTTACATGTTTATAGCCAAAAAGTTGTGAACGAATTAATGATTTCTCTCCTGTATAGAACAAAGTACAACTAAGCATTCTCATTGCTGTATAGCTTCATACCTTGTTTTCAAGTCTATCCTTTTTACCTGTTGTTCTAGAAAGTACTGGATGAATGCCAAAACCTGAGATCCTGCCAACTCCTTGTCAATAGTCGGGTTTTTGGACCTGATCTGTGTCCAGGGACCACTAAATTCCTCCTTGTCTCCTTTAAATGCAAACCTAGTAAGTAATCCACATCAGGCAAATGTGTTTTTGTGTGTGTTTCATTGCTTGTTTTGTTTAAAATGCCACCACACAAGGCTTTGCATAAATCCATGTGAAGTTTTGAGACTCTTAGATTAATAGCAAATTGTTTTTTTCTGCTTTACCTTAGCTGTCCATTGTGTTTACAACTTCAGTGTGCTTGCTGCCAGTTTAATGACCAGTGTAGTTTGGCAGTCAAATGTCAGACATCAGACTGGAAAGGAAAAATGTTTTGGAAATTATTTTTAAAGAGATTGCAATGATAATGTCATATTAGAACGATAGAGCTGAACAGCAAAAACAGATGCTGGGACTAAGGATCCAAATGATGAAGAAGATATCATAATAAGGAATATGAAAAAATGCTTAAGGAGGTAGGACCAAAGCTTTCAAAGATCCTCTGTTACTACCTCTCATTTACAGAAAAAATGGCTGGAGGATACACATGGGTGGCTAACTTTGTTACAGAATTTAATTGTAAAATCACCTGTATTCTATGCAGGTAATTGATGTTGGTATGTAAAGGCACAAATCCTGCCTCAAAGAGAATGCACTTTGTAACATGAGAAAAGGGTAAGAAAGATTAAGAAAATAATAATGAGGTTTTGTTTATTGGTGGTTTTTAATTGTTTTCTTGTTGCTATTGTATATGAGAACAAGCCTGAGTAGCCCAGGGGCTCAGCTTTTTTTGGCAGCTAATCCCCAGTGTGGCTGAAATGGGTCCCAAAGAAAATAGTTGAACGATGATTTATGGTAGGTTCATCAGCCAACTCAGAAATACCCTACCACAACTAAAGGAGAAAGCACAGAAGAGATTTTCTTTAGTCACAGCATTAAGATAGACATCGTTGGAGGAATTAAGAACAGGAGCAGCAAGCAAACTGAAGGGCCAATTTATGTAGAGTGTTGAAGTCAGAGCAGAGATATGGGAACAGAGAAGGCAGGTGTTACCTTTGGCAAGGCACTGACACAAGAACTCCAGGGAGATACACTGGGCCAATCATCAGGGGAAAAAAAATTTCTGAAATTTAACATTTTTATGATCTGTTTTATTATCTTATAGTTTAAAGGTCTGGGTTTCTTTTAACATATTACAACTACTGCATTATTAATGGTGGATGGTTTTGACTATCATAGGTGTGTCTGTGTCAGTTGAAACCTCTTTTTACTAATCAAAAGTGGATTTGGATCCTGTTTGTTACTTTTATAAGCTGCTTAATATTTTTCCCACTGGAAATGAGCTACTTTGAATAGATAATATTGTCTGTAATCTGGATTTTACAAAAGCTTGTGGAAAGTGTATGTAACAGCAAGTGCTGCCTTCAGAACTGAGGAATAGTTCAGTTCAAGTGCAAATTATGTTACTTCATGTGACAGGAAATTCGTATTTGTAGGTAAGATACCAATATTCTTAGGCTTGGCTGTGGAAAACATCCGTACTCAGAAAGTCACTTGAGTATCACTTTAGGTATATGTTACAATCTCCTTGCCTTCAAGTGGGCACTTAAGCCGTTGCCTTAATCCGTTAGTTTTTTAATCTATTTAGAAATATTATCTTTTCCTCTGTTGCTGTATCTCTGCAGAGGTCTCTGTTGTATTCTTACCTTTGTCTTACACCAGCTGCAGGTTTTTTTCTGTTGTCTGTACTTCCATAGCCTCTCTAGCAACCACAGAGTGCAGCCATACAGACACAGAGCCCTGCTTTAGGCTGTCAGCCCTTGGGTCAGAGCCTCTGTTTTCTTGGCATGATCCTCCTGGGTGTACAGTACGGCAGGTGCTTCTGCAGAAGTAACAATTTGCAGCAGATCAAGTATTTTTTAAAATCACTTTTTACACTTAAACTTGTAACTTCTAATGAGCTTGAATAGGAGAAACTGGACTATTACCAAGAACATTAACCCATTTTTTTAATCTCTTCTATTACAATTGAAACAATAATGTTTCCTTTACTGAATAGATAGGAGGTTTTTCTCTCTCCAGTTCCCTTAGCACCAACACCCGCACTCCACTCACAGGGATACCACTCAGTAACAATAAGGTTTCCCTTTTCTCCTGTTCAGCTCAGGAACCTCCTTTTCCTGTTTTCACATTTTTGAAAGACAAAAAAAAATGGAGCAGAATAAACTCTTCTCCCTGGCCTTGTCTGCAGTAAAAAGGTTTGCCATCATACCTAGACCAGGAAGCCTTGAGCGTAAAATGCTGCAAGCTGAGTGGCTGCTTAGGCCAGCTAGAGACCTCCTTGGCCAGATGGCAGATTTTAACCACTTCCTTAGGAGGGATAAACTGTGCTGTCTGGAAGACGATCTCAGTGGCTTCCCCACCTCTGTGCTGAGAATGCTACCAATATGCCTGTGCCAGCTGAGAAAGGGAGGGGGTGTATTTTTCTCAGGCTCCTGATTCACATGGCTTTGTCAGGAAAATCTTTCAAATGAGCCCTTGCTGGATAGTCACGCCCAGGAAAACCCGCTGACCTTGGTGGAGCCACGCAAATGTAGCCGAGAGCATGGTCTGGCTCAGGATACGTAGCCCGTACTCATGCCTTTGTGCCTCCCATTCTTCGGCACTCACTTAATGCTGTATGCAGTGGCACTGGGCAGTGCCAGCCATCCCCATGATTGATGAGCAGTCGGAGGCTCTCAGCACTCAGGCAGGGATCTGAAGTAGGCGTAGAATGCAGTATTGTCCTGGGAAGAGACAAAAGGCAAGGATGAGGCTTGTCCTACTGAGCAGCAGTGGAAAGCAAGCCAGGAAATCAGGTGGGAAGGGGGGAGGCTATTCCATTGGGAGAGGAGATTGGCAAAACTTAACATTTTCATTCCTTTCAAAAAGGAGCCAGAGGCTTTAGCTAGTCATATGGGAGCAATTCAGCTGGAGGAAACACTCCGCTTTGCTATTGGCTTTGTCTCTGATTGTAATAGTGCCACATATCACTCGCAATAGAACTTGCAGAAAAGCTGTTTCTTGTCATGCTTCTATTTGCAATTAACAGTCCAGCTGAGTACATTGCCTCATGCTACCATATTGTTATTTGCGTCTATTTTAGCTGAATACAAAACCAAATCAGCATGTGAAAACCAGGAACTGAAACTCCACTGTCAGGAGTCTAAGTTCCTTATCATCTACTCTGCCACCTATGGCAGATGGGCACGCGAGGAGAACATCTGCTCGACAGAAGTGGAGCGCATCCCCCCCTTCGGTATGTTTTTGTGTTGTTGATAGACCTTCTTCAAACGGGTGCACAGAAATGGGGAGAAAACTTCACGTGCAAGAGCAGTGGCATTTTGGAAGTGCCAGTGGTTGAAACATGAGAGAGATTATTTCTGAAATGCAAACAGATTGCCGAGTATGAGGGAGAAACATAGAGTAAGAAATGCAGCAAGGTAATAAACTTTCATATAGTTAATCAGTCCTTAGTATGATTAACATCAATAACTCTAATTCTGTTGGCTGTCTTGAATTTAGGTGACATACGCTAAATATCAGCTGTTTGCCTCTCTTCTTCCTCCAATTTATGACAATGATTAGGCAACCCGAGTGTCACGATACCTTGTCTTACTGTTACCTTCTTCTTCTCCGTTTCTGCCAGCAATTCCTTGCCTTAAATGCAGACTGTAAGGGTGGGGTCCATAGGTCAGGGTCTAGTGCTTTTGATGCTGTTATATGACCAGACTCCAAGACTGTGGTAGTATACGAGAAAATTAAACAAGCCTGGGACTTCTCCCTGGCACCAAGTCCAGCAATTCCAGCAGACAGGAATGTCCTAATTGTATAGTACTGAACTCTTACCCTCCAAAGCAGGATGACTGCATGCAGACTGCTTCTTGGGGCTGCTCCCTGGCCTGCGTTAGCTCCTCGTCTGTGATGGGGAGTTGTTGAAAGGATGCTGTTGGCTTGGGCCAGATGGGGGCAGGGACCATACTTACCAGAATGGAGAACTGCGTTGCAGTGCCAGAAACATGCTCTCTCACCGCTCACTTACTAGTGCAGGTGCATCCTTATATATAAAAATATATAATATTAATGTCACTATATTGGAAATTAATATATAAACAATATGTTAATGTTGCTTTAATATTAATTTGGTGAGACTGTGAACACTTTCAGGCACAAACTGTTCCCTTTTGAATAGGTAAAAGAACCCAGAACATTGTAAGTAGTTGTATGGTCTACATTGATAACCAGACATTGACTTCACACTATAGTCTCAGCTTGTGTATGATTAATGACTTAGGACTCACTTTTAATTGCTAAATATTTAAATGTGTAGTTGCACGTGGTTGTGAGGATGCTTAATACTTGTATGAATAATATGTTCAGTCATTGACACTGAAGGTATGAAGGTAAATTTTCATGCCGTGGAGAAGGCCAGCACAAGATACGTGTGCTGTTCATATCCCTTAATATCGCACATGGGAGGACTTGTGTGACTCATGCCAGCCCTGTGCACAGGATGAACTTTACTCCTAAGAAATATGCTACAAGTGAAGTCTGTAAGAAGCATTTCTGAACATCAAGAAGAGATCAATAATCAGTCTTAAAATCCATTTGTCTGCAAGCCACTGTTTCTATTTAGTTGTAGAGATGATGTTAAAAATGTATTGACTGAAAATTGTAATCTGTTCAAGAATCTATTTAAAATTGCCAGGTCTATGTTTCACAGTGGCTGTCTTGTGTGGTCCTTCTGTTCCATGGAGGAAATGTTTCAGCCAGTTTCTGACAGACCCCTGTATCCTTCGTGGTGGTGGCATTCATGTATGACGCAAAGCAGAGCAGAGGTAGCTCAGCTGATCGAAAAAGGCTGCCATCATACTTACTTCTTGCGCTTCATTCACCCCTGGAAATCACGCACTTGCCTTGAACGTCAACACTAGCAGTTCACAGATCAGAATACTGCAAACCCCTGTTACTGGATGAAGTTTCCCAGTATAAATAGAGAAAGAATTTGCAAGAGCAACAAACTCTCTGCTGTGTCCCCCTGCATACGAGCACCTCTTGAGCACCACCCTGGCTGTTGCTGGTTTTGTGTTCTACAAAGCAACCTAAAAAACTGTGGTAATAGGAGAGAACATAAAACCTGAGACAAACACAAGGTGAATCTATAGAAAGTAGATCCTTGTATAGATTTCCCATTGCTTAATAAAAGTGCTTGGCCTCCTCCTGCACAGTACCAGTAACCCTCTGCAGTGAGTATAATTTTCAAAAGCACCTGTGTGGCTTGGGAGTACACGTTCAGTTATCATAAAAGACTTGGCACTTAGGAGCCAAATCCAATTGACTCCAGATCTATCCATCTTGAGCTTAGATCTTATTTATGTCGTTATTTAAGTACATACAGATGGGAGTGGGTGCATGATTAAACTTTTTTAATGCCCGTGTACCCTTCTCTCAGGGAAAGCAAAGGTAATTTGAATGTCAGAGTGATTTTAATTATTTGAGACAGTTAAGAAAACTTACTTCAGCTGCTCTTCAGTCCTGAAACAGAGCCCATGTACTTGTATGTGTTTGCAACAAAAGCTAAATCTGCTCCAACACACATTCATTGTTGTTTCTACCCATTTTTGTGCATCTCAGCCTAAAGGCAATGCTTGACCATTTCAATTTCTCTCACTGCATCACAGGGAAACTGTGAGGCATTTTTTTAGTACTACGCATCTGAAAAGTCATCTGTCGGTCCTAATGACAAGTATGGAGAGTCAGTGTTGAGCTCAAGAGTTTTGTATCTATCCATGCTTGATATGGTCCTGCTAGTAGTACTGGGTATTGAATTAATTAAGTGCTTCTCTAGATTCTGGTGACCTCATGTTACATGTAATATAGCTGATAAGCAATTAATGGCAAACAACAGCTTTGGACTGAGACAGATGTATTCTGAACTATCACTTTTCTGTGAAGAGTCTATCAAATCAGCTGACAGATTTTTGGAACTTTGCTTCAAAGGGAACACAGGAAAACATAAAATTTCTTCAGCATAACGGCTCTTCTCCATATAGGTGATACGGTATATAAATTCATCTCTGGTATCGGTGATGTCTGTGTGGCCTGGGCACACTGGTAGGATCCTGAGCCTCAGCTCAACACTTAGCATGACTGCCTCCTCTTGGAACTAGTTTTCTGAGCCAGTTTAATAATGTAAATTACGTGCCATTTTCAGTACAAAGGAAGAAGAAGAGCAATGGCATCATGGTGTCATCCCTGCTAGATAAAGCCTTTACAGTAGAGCTGTCCTGTGGCCTGGTTATGTCTCTCTTACCCTAGGCAATGGAACAGCTTTAGCATGAGACAAAGCGAACTGAAAAGCCCACACAGGATGGGTTATGGGAAACATGCATTCAAGTCCCTTTCTCATTCAGATAAAGAGAAGATTTGAATCTGGGTAAAGATTTGAACTACTTAGTACAAGAAACTCTCCAACATGTACCATTGCTGATAAGACAGCATTACTTCAGTCCCAAGACTGATACCTAATTATATGTGTAACTTGCGTCTTACGTTTCAAAATGTCTCTTGCTTTTGTTAAAAATAACCAGAAACAAAAATCTGCACTTAGAACAACTCATCTTGCTCCATGCACTTTGGAGGAGAGGGAGGATTTGTCAAAGAATGTGAAATTTCCATGTAAGATCACTATAAAGCATTTTTCCTGTTTTTTATCGCTTTGACCATCAAACTGAAATAATGGTATTTTTACATGTCTTGCTCTCCGACTTGTCATCAGGGCTATTCATTCCTATGAGTGGCCACCATTGCCCACTTCAAAGAACAGTGCATAAAATCTTGTCTCCAGGCATTTTGGGATATTTTGCCTTCAGGAAAAGTTTCTTCTGCAAAGTAGGCTCCTACTATTAAGTAGCAGAGTTCACTGAAGCCCAAGAAATTACTTCCATTGTAAGATCTCTGGATCATTGCAGGTAAATAAAAACCTCCAGGCAGTGTCCTGCTTCTGCAGCTGTTCAAGTGACTGGTACTGTTACGACTGTGCAGAATTTACAGAAAGTAACTTCCCTGTTTTACTAAGATTATTTAAACTTCACAAGAAAACAAAAACTTTTTTGGGTACACTTTTAGAGCAGATGGTTTTGCTTAGATAAATCTATTGTGCCCAGCACCAAAGCAGGAAACCGCAGCAGTTTGTTCCTGTATGAGTAGTTGCCTTTTCTGACATACTATCTCTTTCATATTTGTACTAACATGTGCATGAGGAAAGAGAAAATTCATTGGCCAAAAGAAATTAAAGAGTTGTGCCAGGACAGGTTGCCATAGAGAGTACAAGGACAATTCAGGTCAACAAACACTTCTCAAATCATAAATTACTCTTGTTCATACATGAAAGTACTTGAAAGAAGGCTTGGTAGTGGGTTGCCTCTAGCTGTAGCTTGCAAGCTAGAACACTAAAATGTCCTTCCCAGAAACTTCATCTGGATGTGCAGTGGCTGGTCAAATGTGCATTCCCTCAAGTGCTAATGACCAGCAGAGCCCTGAATTGTACATCTTCATTGCTGGAAGGTAGGGTCCTTTCCAGCACAGCCCTTTCTTTCACCTGTTCCCACTTTTGGGAGATGGAGAGAGGAGGTGGAGAATTCAGGCACTCTCACCACAGCTTGCACCATGGCATGACATAGCCTGGGGCTGGGTTTTGTTCTAATCCCCTCTTCCCAGTGAAATGGTATTCAGCTAAGAAGAAGGGGTGTTAGCACGGGAAGAAAGAGATTTCAAAAATCCTGCAGGTTCCTTCCAGCCCAACAAGGCATCATGATTTTGTTATATAACAGTATTTTGTGATACTGTGATTCCTTTTCTTTCCTCTCCTTGACTCTCCTTTCCTCTCCTCTCCTCTCCTTTTCTTTTCTTTTCTTTTCTTTTCTTTTCTTTTCTTTTCTTTTCTTTTCTATTTTTTGTATCAGTATTGTGGGCAATTCAAAGAGCCTACATCTCTTACTCACTAACAATGATTGAAAAGCTTTTGGTTTCTTTCTCTTACTAAGAGATGTATACTCCTAGTGTGAGCTAGTCCTTTGTATAAATCTCTTGAGAGCAGATGTAAGTGAAGTAAAGGTACAAACAGCTATGGGCAGATCTGGAAATGCTTACACACTGATGTTATTAGGTTCATGTTAGCTATAGACATCTAGATGTCATCAAACACAAACCATGTAAGTTGGCAAAAATGTAGGAAATGCTGGATATTGAAGTACAGAC